AGGGCAGGACATCTGAAGGACAGGAGGATAGGATGTCCGAGGGTTAGGAGGACGGAACGTCCGAAGGTATGGAGGGCGGAACGTCCGAAGGTATGGAGGGCGGAACGTCCGAAGGTATGGAGGGCGGAACGTCCGAAGGTATGGAGGGCGGAACGTCCGAAGGTATGGAGGGCGGAACGTCCGAAGGTATGGAGGGCGGAACGTCCGAAGGTATGGAGGGCGGAACGTCCGAAGGTATGGAGGGCGGAACGTCCGAAGGAATAGGATGCCTGGAGGTACAAGGGACAGGAGGTCCAGAAGGAATAGGGGCTACATCAGACAGAGTCTGATGTAGAAACAAACAGAGGTAGACTACCCTAAGGCAGAGTCAGAGAGACAGGGATTGGACCTAAGTCCGGAAAGAGGGTAAGTGCCGGAAAGGCAGAGCTCCAGCCTAGGGAATCAATCCCTAGGCCTGATGGGTAGGACAGGCTTAGGTGGACCAAAGTCCGAGAGAGGATTGGGCAACTCTAAGTTGATATTCAAACTGAGGAACTACAGGAGTATCTACAGGGGTTATATACTGGAGAATATCTGAGGGGATCAATAAGCAAAGGAGCAGGGCTATGTATGAGCATGTGGAAACACATTAGTAAGTAAGATGGAACATAAGTAAATGAACTTGGAGATGAAGACTCATACAAGGATCAATAAGCAAGACAGAAGAAGAGGTAACCGAAAGCTGGAAAGGTAGAGATGCCTAAATGGGGATAGGTGCAGGATCTCGGACAGAGGGTGGGAATAGGTCCAGCATTAATATCCGGAGGTCCGGAGATCTGGGGATCTGGAAGACAAGGTGGATACGGGACTGGAATACAAGAAGGTGGATATAGTCCGGAATCTGAGATGAGGTGAAGTCTGGATGTCTTGCTGGATGGAGTGTGCATAGGATGGATGGGACAGGGGGGTATGGATCAGGCTAGCAGTGGAGATCCGATGGTCTGGAGCTCAGGGGTAAATCCGGAGCATAGTCGATCCTGCTGAGGTGTGGAGCACAGCGGAAGGGGATCTGGGAATGAGCTGGATATGAAGTGGGGTCTGGATGTAGGCTTGGAAGGCGTGGGAATATGATGGAACATGGGTCCAGAGTGTGGGATATGACAGTGGGACAGTGTTTAGTTCCTAGAGCAGGTCAAAAATGCAATTGATATATTCACACTCGCACACCCAGACTGCCAGGCACTTTTTGTATTTGATCAGTCATCAGTTCATGCCTCACTCCCTCCTGATTCATTGAAAGCATTCGAAATGAACAAATTAGATAGAGGCAAACAACAAAAGCAGCACAACACGGTGATACCAATGAACAACCCTGATATTTCCATCCATGGCAAAGTCCAGAAAATGACAGATGAAGACAGCACCCCCAAAGGTCTCCACTCTGTCCTTACTGAGTGAGGATTTGATGTCAGACAGTTAAAAGCTAAATGTTCACCTGTCTGTCCTTTCAAGAGCAAGGGTTGTTACATGGCTTGTCTTCTTTCACAGCAAGACAACTTTGCAAACCAGGAGTCAATGCTCAAGACCATGATATCGAGAAGACAGGCCACCTATGTATCTTTTTACCAAAGTTCCATTGCGAGTTGAATCCCATTGAAATGGTGAGTGGCCTGTCAAAAGTAGATTCAGATGCTGAGTTTGTTGGTAGTACTGGGGCTGGTGCAAGTATCGATACTGAGAAACACCAAAGAACAGTTTTGGTGAAGCCAAGAAAGCAGCCGAGCATTTTCTTGATGCTTACCCATTAGAGGTCTTTCGTTGTTTCATCAATCACTTGTGGCATTTTATGAGTGCCTACTGAAAGGGTTTGACTGGAGAAGCTGCAGCTTGGGCAGTGTGAAAGCAGAAACAACACCACTCAGTGTCTCAAACTGCCATGGATTCAATTATGGCTGTTCTTAACTAAGATTCATACTATTATTTTTGCACTCCCAGTGTCTATCAAATAAAAATTTACCCCAAAAATTTGGCCATACCCAAAAAACACATGGGAAAATTCAGTTCAAGGCATTTGCGAATGTCTTTTGACCAGTAGAATCAATATCTGAAGGCTGTTTTGTGCCAAAAAATTTCCTTTGTCCCCTATGAAAGTTGTCAATTTTGCCTGTCCCCAACTGTAGTGATTACTTGAAATGTAACTTGAAATTTTCGCTTTTTTGGGTGCTGAGAGCTGCAATGGTCATAAAGCTATTATGCACTCTATAATAGGCACTATTCTTTAGATCCTATGGTGGCTTCAGGTACTATTGTGGCTAGGACAAGTGAAGGCACTAGTGATGATAGATGAACAGGATTGAGCAGATGTGGAAGGGCAAGACAGTGAAAAGATAAAAAATGCGATTTTATATGTGCATAAACATGTGAGCAAATATAGGGAAGTATTCCCTTTTTCCCATAGAGGGTGAAAGATGATGTTCCCTTGTTCCCTGTTCCCTGTTCCCTGTGTGCACATGTTCCTTGTTTAACCAAATATAGAAATGTGTTCCCTTTAGTTCCCACAGAAATGACACATAATGTTCCTCTGTTCCCTGTTTCATAAGTTTTCACACACCATATCTAACTATATATAGACATGATGTTCCCTCCTTTCCCACCTTGGTGTTCCTCTGTTCCCTAACCTAACCAAATTAAGCTGTTCCTCCCAGGAACATCTATGGGGACCATAGATGACTCACTCCAATAGATAAGAGATAGCCTAGATGTATATGATAGTCAGGGGTTAATTTCAACTCAAAGATCCCAGACATCATTAATCAACCAACTAAACTTCTCCCCACTATTTTAAAGGTTGTAGAAGATGATTAGCCAAGTTTGAAAGCTTCAATAATTTTTTATAAAGAGATAGACTAGATGCACATGGTAGTCAGTGACTGGTCTATGATCACATGTTCTATACATCAGCAAACATCCAAATACAGTTGTTCCCACCATTTCCAAGGTCATAGAAGATGATTGACCAAGTTTTGAAGCTTTGACAATTTCTTATGAAGAGATAGACTATATACATATAGCAGTCAGGGGTTGACTTCAACTGAAAGGTCCAAGACATCATTCACCATACAACTAAACTTATTTTTACTATTTTTAAGGTCACAGAAGATGAATGACCAAATTTTAAAGCTTTAGCAATTTTTTCTGAAGAGATAGCCTAGATATACGTAGTAGTAAAAGGTTGACTTCAGCTCAAAGATCCCAGACATCAGCAAACATCCAAATAAAGTTATTTCCACTATTTTAAAGGTCACAGAAGAAGATTAACCAAGTTTTGAAGCTTCAGCAATTTTTTGTGAAGAGTTAGACTAGATGCATATGATGATCAGGGGTTAACTTTCACTCAAAGGTCCCAGACATCATTGAACATACAAGTAAACTTGTTCCCACCATTTTAAAGGTCACAGAAGAAGATTAACCAAGTCTTGAAGCTCCAGGAATTTTTTGTGAAGAATTAGACTAGATATATATGGCAGTCAGAGGTTGACTTGGATACAAAAGTTCTACATATCATCAAACATGCAACTAAACTTCTTTCCCCCATTTTAAAGGTCACAGAAGAATATTAGCCAAGTCCTGAAGCCTCAGCAATTTTTTATAAAGAGTTAGACTACATACACATGGTAGTCAGCAACTGGCCTATGATCAAATGTTCCATATATCAGCAAACATCTAACTAAACTTGTTCTCCCCATTTTAAAGGTCACAGAAGATGATTAACCAAGTCTTGAAGCTCCAGCAATTTTTTGTGAAGAGTTAGACTAGACACATATGGCAGACAGGGGTTGACTTGAATGCAAAGGTTCCAAACATCATAAAACATTGAAATAAACTTGTTCCCTCCATTTTAAAGGTCACAGAAGAAGATTGACCAAGTCTTGAAGCCTCAGCAATTTTTTACAAGGTGTTGGACTAAATGCATGTGGTAGTCAGTGACTGGTGTGTGTTCAGAGGTCCTACACATCAGCAAACATCCAAATAAACTTCTTCCCATCATTTTAAATGTCACAGAAAATGATTGACCAAGTTTTGAACCACACAGAATTTTTTACAAGAAGCTAGATCTAGTGCACCTAGTAGCTGGGCTCTTGGTGGGCTGAGCTAGTACCAGACATCACCAGCCATTCATATGAGCTGCTTCCCACCATTTGCAGGGTCACAGAACATGATTGAACAAGTTTCAGAGCATCAGGAATTTTTTACAGGGTGATAGACTATGTGCATATGGCAGTCAGATATTGACTTAGGACCAGAGGTTCATACCATCACCAATGATCCACCAAAGCTTGTCCCCACCATTTTAAAGGTCATAGAAAATGATGGATCAAGTTTTGAAGGCCCAGGAATTTTTTGTGATAATGTAGCCCTTGTGGTCCTCCTCCATCAGTAGGCATAAAATGAAAATCTTGGAAATGAGTTCCAAATGATGTATTTATGTCAGTATAGTATATATAGAGGTATGAATATGAGATACCAGTGTGTTTGGATAGAGTTGTGCTGACTAAATATGGGTATTAAGTAGGATGACTTTGGAAAGAGTACAATGATCATAACTCATGTTCCTGACCACTAAATTACTTAAAAATAGGTGCAATGGAATCCCAGAGATGTATTGCACCCAATGGGACATCAACAATAAGAAGAAAATATGTTGAGTTATATATAATATATAGCCATATAGTGTATAGATTGGTGTTCTTGTTGGCAATGCACCACATTTAAAAATTGTTTTGGGTGCATCACTCCAAAGACATGAATCCAATATGACACCTGAAGAGGTCAATGTCATTGGAAGGGAACACTGCATAAGGGATTCCCTTTGAGCATGCCTCCTGCATTGCTTGATCGAGCAGTGAGCGATATGGAATGATGACAAGCCAGAAGCTGGCATTCTCAACATAGCTGGGTGAGGCGTATATTGCAGATTTGCCAGCACTGGTGGGCATGACAACTAGGATGTGAGGGCAGCCTCATGATATGACCTCTATTGCTAGGACCTGCTGGATGCTTTTGAATGTAGTGCTTGAGTCCTGGAGGAACAGATGGAGGCCCTGAATGCAGGAGAATCCAATGTCAAGGGGCTCCATGGCTTGGATAAGAGAAGATGGTTGGCTGTGTTGGCCTTGCAAGATCACCTGGTGAGTGCGGTCGATCTTGTCATGGGTCACCTGCAGCATCTCCAACACCTGTGCATGGCTTGACGCAGTCTCTTGGATGATGGTAGTCTGTTGCGAGGAAGCAAGCTGTAGCTTGCCAAGGGCAGTGGACACTGCCTCATGAATCTTGGTGTATGAGATTTCTGGATGAGGGCCAACGGCCTTCAAGGTGAGGTCACCCAACCAACCCTAGAAGCATTTCGACACCTTGAAGAGATCAGCTATCATGTCTTTGTGGAGCGAAGGGAGGTCATTCCAGGTGGGGCCATAACACGACCTGCCAGTACTGGTGGTATGTCCAAACATTTCATCTAGAGCATCGTCAGCATGATCACCTTCATCATCAATGTCAATATTAACGATATGGTGTAACAGAGCTTTGATCACTTGTCTCCACATCCTCAGGCCCATGGGTATGTGGAGGTGTTGCATGGTTTGATACTGAAGGATGCTGGAGAAGTCCTCACTGCATAATGCTTTCCCAAAGTGCATGAAGACCTCAGGGCCAAGCCTTGGAGCCCTGCTGTTGATAGCAGGAGCCCAAGACTGAGCAATTTAGTACAGGGGCCCTGCTAAGTACATGATAGTTCTGGCCACTGGGGGATAGATGGGCCTTGCAATGTATTTGTTGGCATATTCAGTTCACTGGTGGGATTTGTTATAGCCAGTTATGAACATGAGGTGACTGCAGACAAAGTACAAGGTGTGAGGACTTTTGTGAGTGTTAGTGAGGCAGTAAGTCTCCAACTCTGTGCCCCTGGCAGGCCCCCCTGAGGTGACATGGACTAGGCAAAATGCAACATCATGAAGCTCTGCTAGTTGGGTGAACCACCACACAACCACAGCTGTGATGCATTAGCACAAATATATTGGCCTGACAGTGGAGAAGCTTACCTTGTTTAAAGACAGGACAGGTGCCCTCCCATACATGGTACTTGTCAAAAATTTTCTGGTCTGTGAACATACCCTTGAGGAGGGCATCCTGAGGGCTTTGAATGGGTTGTCTGGATCTTGTATAAAGGAGTAGCCATCATCTTGTTTCTGGAGGGGGTCCTTAGGCCAATTTGAGAGATCCTAGCATTCAAGTGCTTCTTGAGGCACTGGTCATAGTTGGCCAAATTGATGCCTTCAGACAGTAACACTATGAGTTGGTTAGTGTGAGCCAGTAATGACTTCACCATATCCCTGATGGTGGATACGATGAGCAGTGAGCCATCAACCTGTAGCACTGTGTGAGTGTCATTCCAGAGAAGGTTAGGGAGTCTGGTCTTGGAATGAGCAATGGCCGAAAGGAAATGCATCTCCTTGCAGAATGTGGTGAATGGATATTGCTTTCCCTCAGTGAGGATGTCCTGGAGGAACCAGTCATAAAATCTGGGGGCAAATGAGTAACAAGAATGTTATTGAGGTGATGAGGCTTATGATAGCAAGCCTTCACCATTTCTGTGCAGCCCATTGCTGTAAGCTTGTGAGACACTGCATGCATGCATGCGAAACTGCAGGCATGACAGGTTGGGGATAATGTTGGAGGCAGGTTTGAATGTGCCGTCAAGTAAGAGATGGGATATGATGATGAAGTGGATAAGAGAGCAGCTGAACCAATCCTCTGTAATGTGGTCGTTTGGCATTCTCAGAAACACAAATGATGCCTCTTGGATGTGTTCAGAGGCACTGCTGCCCTCCCTGCCTTTCAGCACACTTAGTAATCTAATGAAGCTCTCAGTTTGCTCCTGCATGAGAATGAGCTTGAATGGGAACTTGTGAGGTTCATTAATGAATCATATGAACATCATCAAGAAGTGCCCCCAAAGGCACATTCACTATTTCACTGGATGCATGTCAGTTGAGCAGTAATGAACTGGCATTCAGATAGACATACCCTTTGGATGTGTTGATTAAATGCAGAAAAATGAGGTCAAGATTGGGTAGCATGGCACAGATCACACTGAGCCAGTTATGCACTGTGGTGTGCAATATCTGGAGATGCTGCTCATGTTCAGTGGGACTTGATACAGCCTGGGGCAAGTTGGTGACATGGAGTCCCTTGATGGCCTTGTTCCAGCCCATTTTGGCGAGGAATGTTCTGTGTTTGTGTGTGTTGCTGTCTACATGATAGACATCATGATTGATGTTGGGGACTTTCTTCTTCATTTTGTCCAAATAGTCAGTGAATGCATGTTGTTGTGGGGCTGTGATCAAGTTAAGGTCAACAAGGATGAGGGTTTGATTGCCACAGAACTCATATACACGCTGGATATTGTGTTCTGCAGAGTTTGGGCACCATGGCTGAGCTTTGTGAGTAAGCTTGAAGTGTTCTTGCATAGTCCTAGGCATAGCTGACAGGTAACCACAGTCCTGCATGAGGCATAGCTGGCCATGTAAAACTTTGAGCCCAACGATTGGCACCATGGTGGTGGAAGGTGGAGTGAACTGGTCAACACACCCAAATGATTCAAGGATCCGCGTCACATCTGCCTGCAGGGGTGGTTTGAAGCCATGATGGGAGACAGCGTGGCTGTGGACATGTTTGGTGGGAATTGTGATTGCACAATCAATGCAGATAGCAATTTTGTATGTGGCATCAATGATGACACTAATACTGTTGAGGACAGACAAATCCTCTGGGGAGGGCGCAGGCTCTGGGTTAGGAGTGTGATGTCCCTGAGGTGTCATCATAAGGGAATGCGTCTTGATGTATTATGGTACAGCATACCTGCATGGCATCTTGTGATGCTTCTGGAGTCTGGAAGGTCAGCATTTTCTTTTTCTTTTTCTTCTTGCACTTTTGGGTGGGAGGAGGGGACTGTATGGTGGGCTCTTTTGAACCCTGAAACTCAGCAAGGTGAGGGAAATCACTCCAGTGGATTATAGGGCAACTTGCCTGATGGAGATTTGTTGATATATCTGATAGCCCAGAAGCATCAGAGACATGTTGTTGCCTGCACCTTTTTTTCTTCCACTTTGCAGTGGGTGAGGAAGAACCTCCTTCATCTGGAGCAGAATGTCCATGTGAAGCATCATCAATATGTCTCTTGTGGTGCATTGTCATGGAAAGTGTGTTGAGTATGGTGTAATCACATAGGGGACAGTGAAAGTATGAGTTGCCATTGTGAGCTAGCTGTCAGCCATCAGCTGTCGGATGGTAAAGTCAGCCATGTCAATAAGAGTGGGTAGGGACCAACCAAGGGTTGTGCTTTGCGTGTGCATCTCTCGGACATGCTTGTCAAGCAAACACCTGTCCCTTGCATTGTAGGTGCAAAGGGTCACCACACATTGAGGCCTGGTGCAACTTACAGTCAGCTCTAGGAAACAGACAGGCTATTAGCGCTCACATGGTGGGAATGACAGGAATACCACACTGATGAAAGCTGCCTTTATTGTATTAAATATGCAGGCCAAAAGCCTCAGAGGGCCAGCTACTACTACATTATGTGTTGCCAGTACTTATAATTGAAGGGTGATGCTACTGATAAGTTTTGATGTGAGTTTAAACTAGTGTGACTGATGTAAGGTGGTCCAGAGGGACCTGGCCTTGCAGTGTGAGCTTGAAAAGGTACTATGAAGTCTAAAACCATGTCTGGGTGCATGTGATAACAACATGAAAAGATGTAAATTAATTCTCATCCCGAGATCTGGGCTTCAATGGACAGATGTAAGAGTGGTATTGGGCAGGTAGATCTGGGATAAATCTGGCCTGAGGATTTGACAGATCTATAATCATTCGGACACAAACCTAAGCTTCAGGGGATAGTGATTCGCTCAGTCGCTGTGGATGTCACAGAGATCATTGGGCGATCAGCTGCATCTATGGATGCCAAGATGCACCCTTAGATGCAAGCATCTTAGCTGGTGCACATGTGAAATCCAACTCACAAGTCATTCAGCTGGCCTGCCACAACATGTCCACATCACTGGCAACAGATGCTGGGCACACCAGATCACACACAGACCTATGTAGTGCACTGTAACACACGCAGTCCACCCAGAAGGGTCTGGTCCATGTGCACAGGTGATGTGGGACACAAATGCACAGGACCTGCATCACGAAGCAAGGTTGCTGATTGCAGTGCTGCATCAATGATTGAGGTTAAGCGAGGTCAAGTGTACCTACAGATTGTTTTGAACGTGCACTGGCTATGATGAGGGGATGTACACAGACCCAGAGCATTTGCAGTCATGAGGCACCAACTTGTATGCCATGGAGCATTTGTTCTCGGATGAGGGTTCCTAGGGTGCCTTGGCGCTCAGGGACCTGAAGGTGCAAGCTAACAGTGGTTGTTCACAGATCAGTGCCTAGGCAACTGAAAGTGTCTGACAAAGTGCAGAGCCATGCAAGGTGCATGTATTGGCTTTTGGAATGAGCAGGCAGGTCCCAATGGTACTGACTGTATGATAATGCCAGCATCTGGGGCCACAGGTAGTTGTTGGTCATAACTGGGAGGAGACTAAGTGCTGCTCAAAGGGCAGTGGTAAGGTGTCATGGCAGTTGAAGGAGAGAAAGATTAGGTAAACTATGAGATTGAGTTTAGTTATAAGGATGTGGTATATGGTTTATGTAAGCTCAACACCTACCACAGCATAGTGTCCAGTGCGGGATTTTTATATCTTGAGGTATTAGCTTTGAGGTTGCCATTAGCTATTTGGCTGAAGGGGCATGCAAAATATTGGTGCTTGTCAAACAGTGGTTGTGGGTGATCATTGTGGTTGTAGATGAAGAGAGGTATATTACGTAAGCTGGGAGGCCATTTTAGTTATAGGGATGTGCTATGCAGATTATGTGAGTGACTCACATACCACATGAGAGATTTATGTAGTGCCTTTGAGGGAAATGTGGTGCTGCCAGTGTAGAGCATTGTTGTGACTCGCTACTGCCTCATGTACATTATTCTTGAAGTCTTCCCTCACAGTAGAGTATGTAATGCTGATGTTGTAGGAATAATACAAATGTATTTGTGAGGGTATGGACAGCATGGCAGATTGTGAGTATGGAGATCTGACTCACCCCAAGAGTTGGGCTTCCCATCTGCATCAATTCCATGCCATCATCCGAGGTCATCTTTTGACCCCAGACACACACCTTCCACATACACCTCGATGCTTTGAGGATGCAAATCTGATGAGCATGACTGGTGGATGCCAGTGAACTATTCTTGGTAGTTGGCAGATTGACTGATATACACCAATTTCCCCTGAGCAAGGAGGGGAGGATGATAAAACAAGGTGACAATATTGCTGCCAGGCTGAAGGATAGTGAAATGAACATCTTGTTTGTAAACACGTGCAGGGGTCATCAGGTTTGCAGCAGGGTAAAAGGGGTTGTAAGGGTTCAATTCTGTATGGTGTTAGCTTATTGGTATTCAGCAGAATACAGCCATACCACTTGTATAGCTCATTGACACATGATGTCAGATGACTGGTGACCAATTGACAGGCTATGGGGGGCGCCTATTTTCACCTCCAGATATTGAGTGGCATCCTGTGTGACAATAGCATGGGCCTTTGAGCCAAGGAGGGCCCACGTGTACCATACTGACTGATTTCATGCTCCTGGGAGTGCAGGATATAGAATTCATTCATTGACTCAGGTGTCCTGTGCCTCTTTTCTTGCAGGGGCAGCAATAACTCAAGGTATACAGCAGACTCTCACATGCCAGCAATGATCTCATTAATGTATCCTCCTGATGCACAAAGCTGGCTTGCAGGTTATGATTAGGCAGTGACATGTTATGATATAGAATGCTTCATACCATTGGAATTTATACCTCCCAGCCCTCATTGCAATGACATGGCTCTTGTTTGTGGGGTGGTCTCTAAATGGCATCTGTGAGGGAGCCAAACTCTTGAAAACAATATAGGCGATCGGTGTTCAAATGGCACAGGGCTGGTGACTTATGGGGAAGCAAACATTCTATCCAGCCCAGCTTGTAGGACATTTACACAGTCCATCATGTTCATTGCAGTGAACAAATTGTCACCAGGTCCATGCAGAGGTCAAAGGTATCAGTGTGATGCCAAGTAAAGATCGTAGGGAATGGTTTATGCATGTTCATTAGGATTAATGTTGACCATGTCCTACTATCCTTGCAGTAAGTAACATGCATACTGTTGTGAGCCAATGCAACTGCGTAATACTTATGCACAAGAGTTGTAGGCAAATAGATTGTGTTTGGGGCATAACTGGGAAGAGAAGGGCCAGATTGTTCTGGGAGGAATGGAAATGTTAGCTTCAGGCCAGTTATATTGATTAGGCATCACTGACAGAATATTTCATAATGTGGATGTGCTCCACACAGGCTTCTGAAGGGTTGTGCATGATCTGGCTTGTTCAAGACTGCAGGGATGAGGATGTGGCATAAACATTTCTGTAAGGAGTCAGTATGAATGATGGAACAAATGCAATTAAACAAATGTTTTAGATTGCATTTGTGATGTATTGGGGAGGGAGAGATAGTATGTACTGTTGAGAATCAGGACATAGACCTAATCATGCATAGCCATTGGCAAATGACTTGCAAGGTGCATAGGGCAGTTGTGAAGGAGTGGGGCAAGGCAAGAGTGGATGTTAGTGGGGAGCATGAATAGTGTAGCCTATGTGTTTGCACTCATTGACAAGATGGGAAGAGTGTGACCTGACCATTTGTGATTGGGCTATCAGGTGAGATTGTCAACAGGCATGTGCACCCAGCAATGGTAGTGTCCCTCATTGCGCATTCAGGGGATGATGCAAGTTGAGAGCAAAGAGTAAAAATTACGTAAGCTGCAAGACATTGTTTGTTTATAGGGAACTGTGACTTGTTACATAACCTGTGCAAACAACAAACACAACAGTAACGGTGTTGGTTGTTACATAATCTATGCCCATATCAATCAAACTGCATTTGTAATGCTGTAATTGTTTGTTTTATGAGAGATTTGACCAACACTGGACTATGGTGGTGCATTTGCTGGTAGTAACTGTGGTTAATAGATGTTAATATATAATATTCCCTGTGTACTGATGACTTTATGACTGTGTAGTGTCTATCTAGTGTGAGATATAGTAGATTGTGTACTGCCAAGCCTGTATCTGTGGGGAAGAGAGGGGATGACTAGTAAAATAGGATACACATAATATTTGCACAAATGGTGCCATAGGATGTAGATCATGAACCATGGCAGTTAGGAATAATAGGACTGACTGTAATTTGGAAGTGATAAGAAGAGTATACCCTAATTATTGTACTACTAGGGCAATCTGGTAATGTGTAACACAGTCATCAGTTAGTTGACAGGACTAATATAATCAATGCTGAGGAAACTGTAGTGAGAGTGATCCATAATACGAGAATACTCAAAGTGTGAACCATAGTGAAGAAGCTGACAGAGGTAGTGAGAGAGCAAGGCAATACATTTGCTGATCCTAAGCTTTAACTGAGGCACAAACCAAGACAACGAGACAGATATATGAAAGCTAACATTACATGATGTGAAGGTGACCCTCAAGGTCAAAGTGTATATTTGGATTTGAATAAAGTGGCCATATACTTCCAGATTGTACAGATTTTCTATCAAAATGGGAGTTTTACATAGGGGAACCATATGAAGATGGTCACAGGTGCACACCAAATTCTAGAGTGTGATATATATGCTAAATGAACATATTTCATCTTTTGTCAAAGCCAACCCTCCAGGTATCAAGTGGTTCAGGGCCATATACATCCAGATTTTACGGATTTTCTATGAAAATGAGAGTTTTACATAGGGGAACCATATGAAGATGGTCATGGGTGCACACCAAATTCTAGGGTGTGATATATACATGTTAAATGAACATATTTCATCTTTTGTCACAGCCATCCCCTGACATATCAAGTGAATCAAAGGCATACAGATGAATTTATATAGGAAAATAACAGTTAGATATAGAGAAACACCAATTGAATGATGTAATGGGTCCTGGGGGTTTGTATATGTGATTGAGGTATGTAACCCTGACATATGTTATCAGTGGTGCCATAGCCCTCTGGCCTAATTATATTGCCTTGCAATTTATCATTATTTTATAGATTT